GAGAACGGCTTGTGCAGCGGAACGAGGTTGCATTTGTCGACCCTCAAAGACAGCGTGGCAAATCTTTCGGCGAGCAGCATGATGTCCGATAAGATGGACAGGCTGAGGATGTCTCTGATGGCGGCACCAATGTCGTCGGCACAAGCTCGCGCAATACCTTTCCTCGGCGCCTCAAGCTGGCGCTGGAGATCGACAAAAATGGAGCAGTGGCCGCAGCGTAGAGGGAGCCGCTCACTGAGCAGCCCTGGACGATGCCAGACGTAACCCACCAGGCATGTGTAGGCGTATTGCGGACCATTGCAAAAGCCTCGAGCTCCAAGTATAGCTGGTCGACGATGGACAAAAAGGCACGCGGCACCTGCATCTCTTTGATCACCGCGCACATGAACTCCTGAGAGACTGGGAAAAGCCGCGCCATAGTCAAGTGCAACCAAGACAGGGACGTTGGCCTCGGCCGACGGCATATCTGAGTAAACCCTGCTGACCGTGTCAAGCTCCAGAATGTTCACTCCGAAGTTCCTCTGTGGGATAAGGCCTCGCTGAGAGCGAGGGGCCCAGGTTTTGAAAAGAACACTGAAGCGCGCGTTGATCGTTGCCGCGATGATCTTAATATCGGCACTGCGCAGCCCAAGCACTCTGACCGAGGACGGGGGCCGAGAGCAACCTGCGGCCACACTATCCGCAGGGTCATCTGCTTTCGGTAGCCAAACTTGGAGCGCATCGTTGGATGACTTGAACAACGCCTGTCCAGAGATAATCCACATCATGGCTTCTGAAAGAACCGAAAGACCAAGAGATGGCGAGCGCCGCGCCGAGTAGGTCAATGCCGTCTGGGCCCGGTTCGGAATGACGAAACTTCTTGGCGACTGCACGAAGGAGCGACGGGGTCGGGAGCGGTGCATCATCAAGACACATTGGCTGGGCCAGACCCTTCACATACTCGCGAGCAGCGGGAACATTAATATGTTTGGCAGTAAAAATCGGTGCCCAGTGTTCTAGGAGCTTGTCGCGCATGTGAATCTTGTCGGACGTTGAGTACGCGCCAGCACATGAATCTTTAATGCCTTGAAGAACCAGTCGACGAGAAAGAGGTGACCATATAGACGCACGCCTCTCAAGAGCTTGAAGTTGGTGGCGAAGTTGAGGGGTAGAACGTCCACCAGCGAGCTCTGCCTCCAGGTGTCGGCGTTGGAGGTCGGTACGACGCAATTGAACAGCTTCGCTCCGCTGCTGGAACGAGGGGGCATGGACCAGCAAGACAGTACCCGACAAGATGTCCACAAAGTCTCTGGCAGTCTGATGCGCAGCACGGAGGCGAACGGCAAGAGAAACATCATTTCGCCAAACCGCCCGAAAAATCTGCCTCGCCTGAAGGAGCTGAGAGCCCAGCGCCTCGGAGTCGCGCCGCATAAGACAATCGCGAATCTCTCGCGCGACTTCCCTAACTGCCCACTTGAAGAGTTCAATCTGCCTGGGAGGTGAGCGGGGCATGAAATCTAGCTGCCGAGTAACGGTATCCAGCAAGTTCCGGAATGCTTCTGACTCGAAATGTGCCTCGGGATATTCCCATATTCCTCAAGCTTTGTTGAGCGCTGCGAGAACGAACAAGACTGGGCTGCGTGGTCACTCACCTCCTTCTCGGCCAAGGCCCCAGGAAGCCCCAGTACGCGAGGAACGGCATAAATTTGGCATACGATCCAACCAGGAAGGCTGGCCCAGAGTCTATCCAAGGCCGAAGCCGAGTGAGCGTTGGCGTCATAGTGAGCAGGCTCGTCCGATGTGAACTCCGCGAGAGGTGCCAATATCTTAGACCACTTGGCAGATTGAGCACGTTGGCCTTTACCTGGGCCCCCGCGACGACCAGGGCGGCGGGGAAGAAGAGGGGGCGAAGCGGCAAAGTTGAAGCCCCCATGTACTACCACAGCGGCCGTCAACGGGGAACTTCTGGCAAAACTGATATCTGCACGGAGCGCCTTGCCTATCTTCAGGAATTTGGCGCCCTTGATACCATGGCTGCGTGCATTGGGGTGGAAAAGATGGTGCCCCGCGCGTTGCAGATGAAGACGGAGCACACGTCCTGGAACAAGCTCGTCAGCGTGAGCCACCGCGGGGCAGGAGGCAGGCAAAACTGTGGCGACCCCGCCTTTCACTAGCGATTCCTCGCAGTGGGAAGAGAAGATGCGCACGCCCCGATGAGCTTTCCCCATAAAGTCTCGTACTTGCACAGCATCTTGATGCACCTCCTGAAGGCAAACCACCCCATTCAAAAAGTCTAAACGGCGAAGGTAGTCCAGCTTCACCTTGGAGTGAGCACCCTGGCATTGAAGAAGCGCCCGCGCATTCCAGGAAGTAAAGGGCACTAAGCCGTGCCCGCGATGCACTCCACGCAGTAATCTTCCCAGCCCACTAAAGACACCGCTCAGCCGATTCAGGCGGTGCGACGATGGCGGCAGCAGCCGCCGATAACTGCTGCTTCAGAAGACCAAGCTTGGTGATGAGATTGTCGGCCCAGTTGAGCGTGAATGGTGCGTTGCCAGGGTTCGGGCTGATCTTGAGAATCGGGTCCCAGCCAGCCATGACATACCCTCGGTCTTTGTCAACATACCAGCGCTTTGAATAATCGATCTCTTTGAAAGCGTCCCGAATGTTCCGCACCTGCATCTCCATGCGAATCTGACGCGGATTCTTGTCGGGGCCGATGTGCAGAGCCGTGGACTGTCCGTCTGCAGCGGTGGTCTCGAAGCGCTTCCATTGGCCAGGCCCGAGGCGTTGGGCACCGAGAACTTTGGCAACTCGACGGGCAGCGGGGGCTGGTGCCCCAACGAAGTTGATGGAGAAGCTGCGGCTGACGGCCTCAGGGGAAGAGATCTTGAAGAATTTTGGCTCAATGCCGACCTCGGCGATCCAATTAGAGAGGGTCTGCTGAACCTGGTCGAGGGCCGTGAGCTTGGCTGCAATGACTTTGATGACACACGGGTCGGTGTCACGATCGAAGCCGGCGGCGGAGAGCAGCGGGGCCTTTGGGACATCGTTGGCGACGGCGAGGAGCTCGCGCAGCTTGCTGTTCTCGGCCTTGAGGAAGGAAATGTCGGAGTCATGGGTGTCCAGTCTGGTCTCATGGGCACGCAGCCGAATGTGAATCCCGTCGATCTGCTCCTGAAGGCGGCGATTCTGACCATCCAGGCGCTTAGCAGCAGCATCGTCAACCATCTTGGGGAGGTCCTTGACCCCTTGGGCCAGTTCAGCAGCGGACTCGGCGTGCTTGGCGAGCTGCTCGGCGAAGGGGTTGATGGCCTCGCCCACCGTTGATTTGATGGAGTCCAGCATCGTCTGTTTGTATTCGCGTAGCAGCTTGGTGGCCTCCTCATTCGCCAGGTACCGAGTGTACTCGTCAGGTCCAGTTTCTTCCCAGCCCCAATCTTCATTTTCATCTTCACCATGAGCGCCATGAGCAGGGTCGCCATCAGCAGGGGCAGGGAGGTTGTCTGCAGAAAGAGCAGCAGAAGCACCTGCGCCACCAGGAGGCAGGGCGGCGGTAGCCCCAGAGGCGTCGCTGTTGTCGCCATCCAGGTCGTGCTTTCTCGGGCCCTTCTTCAGCTTCTTCGGCTTCTTGACGCCGAGAGACGCCACAGGCATGCGGCGGCCCGCGCGCGGGGCGCCCTGATCACTGAGCCAGGAGGCTACGGATGGGTCCAAAGTTAATCGCAACACCTCGGTTCCTTGAACCTTCGTTACGTTTAGCCGTGAGCCAAAATGGCTACGGAGGAGAAGGAGGAGGAGGAGGAGGAGGAGGAGGAGGAGGGGGAGGAGGAGGAGGGGGAGGGACACTGGTCAATCCCAAGCTCTGGCAACCGCGGGAGGTCATTAAGCAAGGCACCTGCCCAAAGCTTCTGATTCCGGCCACCTGCTGCGATGAGAGAACGGCGTAATATTTTTGGATACGGGCACCGAGCCTGATCCACATCGCCGGGATGGAGGGAGTCACCAGCCCCGCAAAGCCCGATCTCGAAATGTGACACATGCCATTGGAATTCCATGAGCGCCTGGGATGAAATAGAAGAAGCAAGCACTGCTTAAACATAACTGATACCGGAGAGAAGCCCCAATCTTAATCTTTTTTGGGGTTATGGGGCTATGGGGCTATAGGGCTCTAGAGCTATGGGCTATAGGGCTATAAGGCTATAGGGCTACAGGGCTATAGGCTGTAGGGTTATAGGGCTATAGGGCTATAGGACTACAGGGCTAGAGGGCTAGAGGGTTATGGGGCTATAGAGCTATAGGGCTATAGGGTTACAAGGCTATAGGGCTATGGGGCCGTGAGGCTATACGGCTATAGAACTATGGGGCTATAGAGCTATAAGGCTATAGGGCTATAAGACTATAGGGCACCTGGGCACCTGGGCACACGGGCACCCGGCCGCGGAAATCGGCGGCGCACCTCGCCCGGGCACCCGGGCACCTGGCCGTGCCGCCGAAATCGGCGGCGCACCTAACCTAACCATATGAATCCGATAGGACCCCTACAGAGGCAAGCTCTGATTGGGGAACCGTCGGAGCGCCGCGCGGATCTCTTGGATCGGCACTGGGCCCCCATACCTGGCGCGAGGAGCTCGCCAGGGGCGGCGTCGGAGGCGCCGCCAAGCGGGGCACAGCGCAGATCAAACAATTCCTCGCGGACCTCCGATTTTTTATGCTTACTTTGCAATATTTTTTCCTTCTAAGGTGGCGGCAGGGGTGGCAAGGAGGGAATGGTGGGGGAAAAGGGGGAGAGGGGAAGGGTTCAAGGAGGACAGTCGATGTTCACAGGCCCCCGAGACCAGCGAAAATGCAAGGCCGCCCTCGCAGTAAGGAGCTCTTCGGGCAAGGTCTCTGCATGCATTCGCCTCGACTGCGTGCGGCAAATTCGTGTCGTGACGACTCTCGCGTTGGTTCCGCACACCGCGCGGATCGTTCGATCTTGAATGATCGGCACGTTTTCGAACGCCAGATTGGTCTACAGTGGCCGACTTTGGGCCGCTGGCGGCGTTGAACCTTGAACGCCTGCGGAAGGGCCACTGCCGAGGCAGGCACGACGCGACCTACCGTACCGCCAAAGGAAAAGGGGGGAAGGGGGAGCGAGGGCAGGGAAGGAAATGGGGGTAGGGGAGCCCCAACCATACACCAAGACCGATCCTGGCCAGGATCACCCTGGGCCCAGGATCGGTGTTGGTGTATGGTTGGTGCCCTCCGAGGGGGGAGGCGAGAAAGATGGGCGAAGGCCCGCCTGGCGAGATGCGCCCCGCGCCAACCCGAAAGCCTGCGGCGGGGTCTGCCCACGCCGCCCCGCTGCGCGGGCACACAGTGAAACTGAAACCGCTGGTGCGGCCACGCTGGCCTTCTCTATCTTCCAGGGAGACCCAAGCCCTCCTCTTCCTCCTCCTCCTCTTCCCCGTCCTCTTCTTCCCCGTCCTCCTCCTCCTTCTCCTCCTCCTTCTCCTCCTCCTTCTCCTCCTCCTCCTCTCCCCCCTTTCCACTTACCCAAACCCCTTCAAGCCAGAGAAGAGGAGGAGGCATGGGAGAGAAAGGAATGGAGAGGAAATGCAAAACGCATGGGGAGGATAATGCTAAAGAGGATCGTCGAGGGGAAAAAGAGGAGTCAATGAGAGAACGTAGGGGACGCAACAAGAAGGAGACAGGTGGTGAATATAGAGGAGACTTGCACGTGAATGTAATAAGGTGGTGAAGACTGACTTCGCCGTGCTCTTCGTGTGCGCACCAGAAACAGCGATGCATTGCACGTGGAATGATCGTCGCCGATGGGGGCGTGGAGGTATTCACTATACAAAAAAAGTGGCAATTTCAGTGAAACGCTGTGGTTTCCCCAGGATGTAAATCTGATGTGACCAAATGGGGATTCTGCATGGCCAGGGATCACCAGGTCGACGGAATGTCACGCAGGATGTAGGAGCCTTGTTTTGCAATCGTACCTTTGGGATCTCAAGAAATCGTTACCCGGGAGAAAAAAGGGTTCGGGGCACTGGATAAAAGGAAGCGTTTGCGCGGGGGGTGGGGGGCGTCGGGGAGGGGGCGCGCTGCGATCGCCGTAGTATGCGCCCGAACAGCAGTCTTTGCCTGCGAGCACAGCGGTGGCCTGTGATTTGATCATGCGTGCAAAGCCTGAGAGTACCTGCAAGGCACATGTGAGCACCGCACTGGCCTGCGAGCGACCAGGGTGCGCCTGCGACAACGATACCACATCGCGAGCACCACAATCTTCGCCAGAATCGGCGTCGGCATCATTGAAAACGTCGTCGCGGCCGTCCTCATCGACATCATCTTTCGATTTATCGGCGTCGCCGTCGGAATCGAAGAAGTCGTCGTCGGAATCGTCGCCCTCCTCGTCGTCGTCGGAACCGTCAGCCCAAGAATCGCCGTCAAACTCGTCTTCGTCGGAATTGTCAGCGTCGAAGTCGTCGGGCTCGTCGCCATTGGAGTCGTCGTTGTCGCCATCAGCGTCGGGGTCGCCGAAATCGTCGTCATCGGAATCGTCGTCGTCTTCCTCCTCCTCCTCCTTTTCCTCCTCCACCTCCTCCTCATCCTCGTCGTCCGAGGGCTCTGGCACGAGCCTGCACAATTCCCGTCTGGGTCCTGCCGGGCAACGCCAGGCACAGAGCGGGACGGAACCCAGCGCGGCCAAAATGGCGCGGACGGCGTCGCTAAACGGCACCGGGAACACGTCCATGTAGGTGCCGAACAGGAAGCAGATGCAGAGGAGAGGCCCCGCGGCGACGACGGGTGGAAGTCCGGGCGCCACGCTGGCCCAGGAAGGCGGCGACGGAGGAAGAAAGGGGAGAGCCGTCCAAGTTCCCCAGGTAACCTTGCAGAACGCGCGGGGCTCCGCGAGGAACAGCGCCACCAGCGGGAACAGCGGGAGCGCCTCCGAGACGGACAGGAGGGCAGGGTGAGCGGTGCCGAAGAGGTAGGCCTCCAGGCGCCGCATGGAGCGCGCAAAGACTTCGCGTCGACGATGAGCACCGCGAGGAAGAAACGGAAAACGGACGGGCTGCGGCCGCTCCGGGACCTTCCCCGAGCAATTCGAAGGTCCCCCAGTGCAAGGGCAGCGTGGACCTTCACGGAAAGAGTCAGAGGTTCCCCAGGCAGGGCAGCGCGAACGCAGAGGCCACGAGCAGCATGACGAGCCATCAGGGCGCCCTGCGCGTCGAGACCCGGAGGCAGAGTGACCGGCACGGCGAAGCCGTGGAAGAGGGCGCGAAGCGCCATCACAGCGGGTACCCCGCGTGGAGGGCGGCGGGCGGCCAGCAGCCCAGCGGCCAGCGGCCGGCAACGAGCACCACCAGGGAAACCGTGCCGTCGGCGCCTCAACTGGACGGGGAGGGTCCGTGGCATGGTCAACAGCACGTCCACGCCGAACGCCGCCACAATGAATCCTTGCGGCCATCACGACGACGAGGTGCAGAGGGGCGCCGCCGCCGCAAGCGCAGCAGCAACGCGCCAGCCGCCCGTAGCAAGACCAAGCGGCAGCTGCAGCAGTTCATAAGAGGCCGCCAACCCGGGGGCGACCCAGAGAGCGGCACCAAGGCACCCCTGGCCGCCACCCCAGGAGGCAGCTGGGCGGGCACCCACCACCCCGGCCACGGAGAGGGGCCCGCAGTGTTAGGCGCCACCCCGGGTGCCAGTGTAGGGCAGGACCTCGAGAGGTACCTGCCGCACGATATCCCCAGGAGAGTGGAGGCGGGGGAGGGCGGCTAATCGCCGCAAATACAGGGAACAGGGAGAGATGAAGAGCGGCAGTTGGTCGCTACAAATGCAAAGAGATCAGGATGCCATGGTTTACCCCAGGCAGAGGCGTACCCCGGGTCATGATATCCCCAGGCGGCAGGAGCATGGAACGTAGAACCGTGTGCAGGTGAACCCCAGGCGACGAAGAGGGAAGGGAGGCGGTAGGACAGGAAGTGGCGGCAGCTGATCGCTGCAAATGCACGATAGGAATACCCCCGGCAGGACAGGAGGAGAGAAGGGGCAGAAAGCAGAAGCCGCGCAAAGCACGCGCGCAAGCGATTGGCGCGACCACGCGCGCTTCACATCTCAGAGGGGCGCGCGCGGCAGGAGGGGGGGGGGGGCGGCGGGGGCGAGCGCAAAGGGGCGGAGGCAATGACGGGGGGAGAAGGGAGCTGGAAGAACCGGGAAAGGAACGCCATGTAGGTTTGTGCAAGTGCTGAAGCAACGCAATCGCGCGGACGCGAGCGCGCTGTCACCGCGACGAACCATGCGCGACATCGAAACAAGAGCCAGAATGCGGAGCGCGGCCCCATTCGGGTCGGGGGTCCACGCGCGTCCATTCTCAAGCCGAAGTCGGACGTGTACGTAACGGCCATGGCACGCGGACGTTTGCCTACGAACTACTCTATACTTCCGCACGCCCGCGGGCCACGTCGGGCGACCGACTCGGTGAGCGCGCAGTGCACGGCGGCGCGGCAGATAACCCCATTGCGTCAACGGGAAGGACACATTGCAACGCTTACGTTTCTTGGGCGGCCTACTTCAACACTTTCTTGCCACCTCTCTTACGCAGACGGCAGAACACCTGCTTCTGAGCAAATCCGCCGGCCCCCTTGTTGGGCCACCAGGCTGTAGGCCGGAGGTTCGCAGTTTCCTGCGCCAGTTGCATCTTACAGTTTCCACTGTTACAGTTCTGCTTCTCGTTGCTTACTGTTCCTAGTTGACTTCTTGCTGCTTACTGTTCCTTGTTGATGGACCGCGCGAGGGGGGGAGGCCCAAACCAAGCATTTCTACAACGGAGAATTTGCATTGCCTGAGTTGCTGGGGTGGGTAAGAATTGGCGCCCCATCGCGCAGATCGGCGGGGTCAGGGTCCAAAAGCACAAAAAAGATTTGCCACATTTCTGAAATTCGGTGACACCGCTCACGCAGATCGGCGGGGTCAGGGTCCAACGACATAAGGGACTTGCAACATTTCTAACATTCGGTGGCACCCCTCACGCAGATCGGCGGGGTCAGGGTGAACAAAAAAATGCCACATTTCTAACATTCGTTGCACCCCTCGCGCAGGATCGGCGGGGCCAGGGTCCAACAACATAAAGGATTTGCTACATTTCTGACATTCTGTGGCGCCCCATCGCGCAGATCGGCGGGGTCAGGGTCAAAAAAACACAAAGGACTTGTCACATTTCTAACATTCGGCGGCACCCCTCACGCAGATCGGCGGGGCCAGGGTTCAAACGCGCAAGGGATTCACCACACTTCTGAAATCCAGTGGCACCCTTCGCGCAGATCGGCGGGGTCAGGGTCCGGTCCAAAAGCACAAAAAGGATTTGCCACATTTATGAAATTCGGTTGCATCCCTCATGCAGATGGGCGGGGCCAGGGTCCAAAAAGACAAAGGATTTGCAACATTTCTGGCATTCGGTGGCACCCCTCGCGCAGATCGGCGGGGTCAGGGTCCAAAAAACATACGGGGATTTACTGCATTTCTGAAATTCGGTGGCAACTCTCACGCAGATCGGCGGGGTCAGGGTGCAAAAACACAAAGGATTTGCCACATTTCTGAAATCCGGTGGCACCTCTCACGCAGATCGGCAGGGTCACGACGTCTTACCAATCGCCAGGTGTGGTAGCCCCTCTGGTCATCTACTGGTTTTGCTCATTACGAGTCGGCCTCGCGCTGCTTCGCGACAGCGCCCAAGTCTCATGACATAGCTCTTGCATAGCGCATTATCCGAGAGAGGGGGCCGGCGGCAGTGGGCGAAACCCCTACGGATTAAACAACTATTTTCACTGATCCCCCCCCCCCCCCGCAGCGCGCATTACTTCCGCAGCCATGGCCTTCAGTGGTGCATCTGCGACTTGATATCCTCCGATATGGACGCGAGCTTAGCATCTGTGTCGACCACTACCTGGTGGATCGCCAAGTCTTGGACACGCTGGATCTCTGCGAAACGCTCCTCCTGATGCAGTGCCATCATCGCAAACTCATCCTGTATGCGGTCGAAGTCAGTACCGAAGGTGGTCAAATGGCTCCTGGACAACTCAACCCCTGCTCTGTGAGTTGTGGATCCCTGACGAACGAGATCCTGGAGGCCCGGAACCTGGGACGTGGGCGCGCTGATGCCACCGTACCTGCGGGGTGACGCCGCGAGGAGAAGCTTCACTGACCCCCGCGGGGCTCTCAGACGCGGGTGGCAACACAAGCGTAGCCACTCCCGCTGTGGCTGGATGGTGGGGCCGAGGAGAGGAGCGGCCGCGGCGGGCCGCGGCGAGGCGGGAACCGGAAAACCCGAGGAATAAGCCGGGGGGAACGCCAGGCCGAGCGGGTCGCGCAGACCACCCTGAGCCGATACGGCTTGAGCCAGATGGCTACGGGGAGGGAGGAGGAGACGAAGGAAAAGGAGGATACTCATGAGAAGGAGGAGGAAGACGAAAGGGAGGAAAAAGACGAAGGGGACTGTCAATGACGCGAAAAGGCGCCCTCAGGTGGCCAAGGGTGGTCCAGGGGAGGTCCGTGCCACGTGACTGCTGCAGCTTTGCGATCCTAGGCCATACCAGAACACCGTTCCTGAGGCTCCAGCACCGCGAATCGACGTGGCCGTTGCGCCGTGACAGTTCTAAACCGCGACAAAGCGCCACTCCTGGAACTTCAGCAATGCGAGCCATAGTCACAAACTTGTAAGACGAATGTGCGCGGCGCTCAGACGGGAACCACACTTGGAAAAAAAACCGCCCCGCATCTTTGAAGCCGGTGCAGATTTTTGGGGCTAATGTGCGCGGTGCTGAGACGGGAGCCACAATGTGAAGCCATACCGTCCTCCATGCCTGAAGCTGATGCAAATTTCTAAAACGAATGTGCGCGGCGCTAATAGGAGAACAACCTTTGAGAAACACCCGCCCTCCATCAGTGAAACTGTTGCAAGCTTCCTAACTTCAAGATCATGAGTGGTGGGGAAAATTCGAACGAAACGCCCAGCCGCCCCACCGACACGCCTGGGGATGCGACGTGACTTCAGTATGAATAAGGAAAACGGGTAGAGGAGGGGGAAGAGAAGGAGGAGAAGGAGCAGGAGGAGAAGGAGTTGGGGAGGAGGGTGCGGAGCACTCCAAAGGAAGAGAAGGAGGAACATGAAATGGAGGGAGGACTGAGATGAGGGACGGGGGATGGAACTATAAGGGGGGACGCGGGGGACGAGAGAGAAAACGAGTAGGACCAGGAGAGAGGGCGAGAAGAGGGAGGAATTAATAGGGTGAGGAGGGTAGAGAAGAAGGGAAAAAGGGGGGGTAGAGGAGGAGGGTTCGATTTGCGCGACAGGGGGAAAAACAGGGAAGGAGAACATGGGGCAGCAAGGAGGAGGGAGGCGCTGCGCACGAGAGGCCAACGGCTTGGGCCCCCTGTGTGCTCAAGGCGACGGCCGAGGCGAGCGACCAGGCCGCCGCGCTAGGGTGAGACTCCAGCAGCAGCGCCTTTCCAAGGGGCCGGTGGCGTACGAAGCCATGGCCGACAGACAGCGGAGAATTGGCGCTGAGCGTTCCTGGCCCAGCTCTCTCAATTCCTGCCCATCCTTCCCGCCCATCCTGCTCCTGCTGCCGCGCCAGTTCCAGCTTCAGCTCCTGCTGCCGCTGCTCCTCCTCTTCCCTCTCCCTCCTCCCGCTGCTCCTCCTCCAGCCTCGCCTCCCCGCCCCAATCCACCCCTCATCGCTCCAGAGCAACACTTTTCGCTGCGTTTGTAGACATGTCGACGGCAGGTCCACTCGTGCCGCCGGAAATGTTCTAAAACGTGATTGTTCTCAGGCTTACAACTCCCAACAACTATACGGATGGGTCGTTGTCAGAACGTGACTCTCTCCAGATACGACCTGGAACTCTGTAATGTTTTTCCCAACCATCCTGTGGTGTTGGGTCCTCGTTTTGAAGAGACAGTCCCCGCGTTCCTCTCCTCTTCTCCTCCTCTTCCCCCTCCTCCTCCTCCCTCTTCCCTCCTCCTTGCGCTTCGCCGATGCAGTACAGCGTTTCGTGGCCTCATAAGGAACTCCACCGAAGGTCCCAGTGGCACCGCCCGCATGCGTCCGCCACCACCCAGCACAGCCCTCGCTCCCTGCGTTGCACCCACCCAATACACGCTTCGTGGCCCCATAGGGGGCTCCACCGAAGGTCCCAGTGGCACCGCCCGCATGTGACCGCCACCACCCAGCGCAGCCCGTGCTCCTCCCTGCGTTTCACCCACCAAGTACAGCGTTTCGTGGCCCCATAAGGTGGGCTCCACCGAAGGTCCCAGTGGCGCCGCCCGCATGCGTCCGCCACCACCCAGCACAGCCCTCGCTCCCTGCGTTTCACCCACCCATACAACGTTTCGTGGCCCCACATGGGGCTCCACCGAGGGTCCCACTGGCACCGCCCGCATGCGTCCGCCACCACCCAGCACAGCCCTTGCTCCCTGCGTTTCAACCACCATGTACAGCGCTTCGTGGCCCCATAAGGTGGGCTCCACCGAAGGTCCCAGTGGCACTGCCCGCATGCGTCCGCCACCACCCAGCACAGCCTTCGCTCCCTGCGTTTCACCCACCCAATACAACGTTTCGTGGCCCCATAGGGGGCTCCACCGAAGGTCCCAGTGGCACCGCCCGCATGCGTCCGCCACCACCCAGCACAGCCCTTGCTCCCTGCGTTTCACCCACCCAGTATAGCGCTTCGTGGCCCCATAAGGGGGCTCCACCGAAGGTCCCAGTGGCACCGCTCGCATGCGTCCGCCACCACCCAACACGGCCCCTGCTCCTTACGTTTCACCTAGCCAGTACAGCGCTTCGTGGCCCCATAGGGAACGCCACCGAAGAAAATATTCACAACTGCGGTACTCACAACTGCAAATGGTTGGGTCCTTCGCCAAGCTAATTACATACAGACGTATACATAGACGGCCACTCGCCTGGAACACACAAATGGTAAGTGGTCACAAAACCGAACCCCCCACCGAACAACTCCTTCGGGCCGCCCAGAAACCGACCCACCCCCCACACCCTCCCTAGCCCAACCCCTCGCCCCTAGACAACGACGACGACGACGACGACCACAACGACGGCCGACGACGCCGACGCCGACGCCGACGCCGACGCCGACGCCGACGCCGACGCCGACGACGACGACGACGACGACGACGACGACGACGACGACGACGACGACGACGACGACGACGACGACTGACGACACCGACCGACGACTGACGACGACTGACGACTACCGACGACGACCGACGATGACGACGGTGACAACGGACGCCGACGGCGACGACGACGACGGACGACGGACGACGACGACCAGTGACGACTGAAAACGACGACGACGACGAGGACGACGGACGACGACGACGACAACGACGGACGGCGACGAATGCCAGACGTGAACAACGACGAGGGCGACGACAGACGACGGCCGACAGAAGACCGACGACGACGACGAGAACGGACGACGGACGATGTACGGCGACGACAACGATCACGACGAACGACGAACGACGACGACGACGACGACAGACGACGACGACAACGACGACAACGAACTTTGCACGACGGACGACGACGAGAACGACGACAACGACGACTGACGACGACGGCGCCGGACAAGGACCACGACGACGACGGCGACGACTATGAGGACCACAACGATGACGAACGACCGACGATGGCGCCGGACGACGACGACGGAGGAAAGACGACGACGACGGCGATTACGACGACGAGCGACGGTGACGAGGGATGACGACGGCGATGGCGACGACGGACGACGGACGACGGACGACGGCGACGACGACTACGACGACGACAACGACGACGGGCGGACCGTAACGGGCGGGTCGGGTCGGGCGGGCGGAAACTAACGCTCGGGTCGGGTCGGACGGGCGGGACAAAGCCGTGTGAGATGATTGGCTGTCCCCCTCCCCCGTTCCCCATCCTCCAGGGTTCTTCCTCGTCTCTCCTCCGCCTCGTCCTCTGCTCCTCGTCTCGCCTCCGTTTTCCGCCTGGGCGAGCTCGCGTTATGCTCTCCCGCAGCTCACCCGCTGCCGCGAACCTGCTGCGCAACGCGGAGGTTGTACGCCCACCTTGTCCCCCTTCCCATTTTCGTCCTCTTTCGCTCCTCCTCCCTCCCGCCATCTAGCCAGCCTATCCTCCTGCTCGCTCCCGCCTCGAGGTCCCCCGAAGCGCTCTGGACAAGTCACGGGGGCGTGAGAACCTGCAGGCATTTAGAAGGCCGTTCGGAACCTTGCGAGCGGTCTCTCGGGGACCTTGTGGACCCTCCTGCTGGATTTCTAATGGCCTCCTGGGCGCTTCTTGGGGGCCTTGTGGGTGCCTTGTGGGGCATCTCGGGGTCTCTTGAAACCTCTCGGGAACTCTTGGGAGCGTCGTGGGGGCATTGGGGGGCCTCCGGGGGGCCTCCTGGGGATGTTTGGAAGCCCCTTTGGGGCGCTCTTGGAGGCCTCTCGGGACCTCTCGGGGCCTCTCGGAGTTCCTGGGGGCCTCTTAGGAGATTCGCAGCCTTTTCCTTTCAGGGTCCCATGATCACCGTGATGTAGAAGGCAAATCGTTTTAGTACCCCATGGGGGACCGCCAGGGGGTAGGACACTTGCCCGTTCGTTCCCAGGTTGTGGGGATGTCACAAGCGAAACGTTGGTTCTACCTATCTGGACTCCCATTGATTGAGGGCCCCATGATCACCGCGATGTAGCAGGCATTTGGGCATTCCATGGAGGATTCACGAGTCAGCCGTAGTCAAATCTCACTCGCACCCACACTCACTGATTTCAGGCACTCATAGGGATATAACTTGCTATAACAAAGATGCACATCTGGTAACCACTCGTCGGTTGACTTCTATAAATGTGCATATTTATATATATATGTATGTATATATATATGTGTGTACAGCTGCACGCATGTGGTTAAGGTACGGTCAGGACACTACTTATTCCAGTATGATGTGTGTATAGGCGTAATCAACTGGCAAGCGCACCGGCGCCGCGCACATGCTACTGCTTTTTAAACTCTTCCAGCTACATGGATGGATGGCGTTCCCTTCTGACCGTCATTGTAGGTTGCAATGCTGCGCAGAGGAATCTTCTCCTGCTCGCCAGTGCACATTCCAAAGCCGATGGGCGTTCGCTGCAGTGCACGGAGAAATACGTTGTCTGACCTATGAGCAGGGAAGGGTGCACTGCAGAACCAATGACGCCTGCGAGGCTTTCTCTGGCCCCTCTTGCTCCTCGCCCCCATCCCCGAAACGCATGCATGAAGGGGCCCTGGGACACACAAATAAATACACACAAATAACTGGATCCCCCATATTTTTCAATATTTTCTGGGTTTTTGTCTTCCCGCCCAATTCCCATATTTTCCCATAGTTTCCTGGGAGTCGACGATTAATTGTGTCTATGTGTGTTTTTCCCTCCTGAATGCAGCTTCGCGAACAATCACGACAAAAGGCCCAGACCCCATCGTTCTGCGGCACTTCTCGAGCTGGGCCGATCTGTCATGGCCCCTGGGCCCGAGCCCCGACGCAAACGACCGGCGTAAAAATGACAGCGCTCGGATCTCGTTGACCTAAGGAACCCTAAATAAGGAACGGGGCCCCTTTCTCCCATAAGCTGAACTCCGACTTCCCATGGAAAACCTTTGGAAAACAGCAGGCAAACCGTCGAACAATCAAGGAACACCGAACCCATCCCCAACGAAGAGGGTTCCTTCTCCAGGGCTCTGGCTGTACGCAGGCAGCTGACGCGCCAATGTCGGCGCAAACGATCCCGTTCTCCTGTGTCGCTCACCCCCTCCTCCCCCTGCCCCAACGGACGCAGAGCGGTATAAGCTGGCATGGTATCCGCAGTCGGGGGGGCGCCTGCCTGGCAATACTTCTACCTCTGCGGTGACACGTCAGGGCATCAACTCCACCCTTCTCCCTCCTCCATGGGGCAGGGCCCAGGGGGCCAGCAGGACGGCGCCCGAGCCTCACCTCGGCGCACCCGCGGCCTGGTCCAGCGGGTCCGGGCGACTGCTGGAGTCTGGCGCGTCCGCATCCGCCACGCGAACCTCCGCGTCCGCGGAGCGCCGCCTCCGCCGCGATTCCCTGAACTTCCTCTGCACTTTCATCGCGGCGATGGTCTGGACGAAGTCCTGCGCGGAGGGGGGGGGGCTTCCACGCCCAAGTGGGGGGCGAGGATGGGGTCAGGGGGAGGGGGAGGGAAGGAGGGGCAGGGGCGGGCCAGGGAGGAAGGAGGGAGGCTATGGGGAGGACGGGGAATGAGGAGGAAAAAGTTGAAGATTGGAAGGTGAAACGAGAATTTGTTGTGTTGAACCTCTACGGGTACATGCCCTCACTCAAGACGACAAGGGTGAGGGGAGGAACCTAACCTTCATCTCCCTCTTGTTCTGCTACTAGGGGTGCATGCCGCTGCACACATACTTCAAGGCGGTCCTCCCAGATCCAGCCTCCTCCTTTCCTGAACAAGAGGAGGCGAGCTTGACGACCCGGCCACCAGTGGTGTAGCGGTGGCGGTTCAAGCAAATCCAAAGAAACTAACCATCGGAGCAACATGTAAGTGCACAGCGATGACCGCATCCCTAGGTTCAAGCAAGGAGGCACACTGCAAGTGCCTGGAGGGGGACGGCTCTGACCTGTCTTTCATCACAAACGAGCTTCGCACTGCCAAGCAATAGAGATCCACGTCCAGGATGCCCTGGACCCCTAGACTTCGGGGAGGTCTAGGGCTTGCAGTATTCAACTCTAGACAGGTCGTACTTTGGCCACGAAGAACCTTGGGGGCCAGCCTGGCAACAGCACGCGAAATTATGATGTGGTCAGTCCTTTCTCCAGCCTCGGGGTCGGGATCAGGGTGCTGCTGGGTTCCTTTCTTGGCAGCTCGTTCGGCAAAGGCATTGGCGACGGTGGGCCTCTTCAGGTGAGATACCTTCCTCGTCGATCTGCTTATGGGCGGCCACCTTAAAAGCCCTTGTGGCACCCCGGACGCACCCCGAGAAACCATCGAGGACCGAGCCAGCGTAGGCCCCATGACCCGAGACCCTCTTGGAAGGAATCCGCCGAGCCACGGAAACGGCGTTGGCGCAATCTGCAATGATGTGGGCTTCCCCGCTCGACTTTTAGTTGCTGCAGAAAAAAAACGCTGCGTTCGCCAGACTGTGGGGACTGAAGCATGCGGCCCCAAACGGGCCCGCACATCCAGGCCAGGAGCTCTCCCCCCACTGAACACATCGCAACTCCCGATCAAGACATGCTTCGTTCTTTAGCTGCACTCTTGAAACAGCTGCCGTCCGGGAAACTGTTTCCCGAGAACGCCCCGACTTGTGTTCAAATCGCGATGCAGCACAGAGATCGGACGCACCCCTTGTTCTCAAAGTGAGAGAACTTGCATGACGTGAGCGACTGCTGGATCACATTCACGCGCAGCCTGGGGCACGCTCCTTCGGCAGATGGGCTCTGCTGAGCTCGCGGCGCCTCTCCCTGGCTCCGCAGCTGGTTGATGCCTAGGGAATGCCACTGCGATGCGGCGTCGGAGCTTCCAGCTCCAGAGCCGCATTCTGATTCCACGGAAGCCGTAGCTGGTCGAGCAAAACGCGCGGGCGAGGCGCACCGGCCCCTCGTCGGCGCGAACAGCAGGTGGGCCCATGCCCACGAACAAATCACAGCCCAGAAGCCTCTTGAAGGGCCTGCCTCTCCAGTCCTCGGGACCGCCTCATGCAATAGCGTCCTGATCAAAGGCTGTTCCCCCAAAGGGCTACGAAAGCTTGTTCCCAAAATCGCGCACGAAGCACGCACAGTCGGACACGCCCCACCCAAGACGCTTGAGAGACACGAGCATCGCCGACACGGGCCCCGATGCCGTCCTTCAGGTGATCCTCTCTCCCGTGGTCCCCAATAGCACCTGCTCCCAAGGACTTCCGGTAGTGGCCCAATCCAAGCAGCCTTGAAGTAGCTGGGCCTTGAGCAGCCGAACCTCCTTGCAGCGCCGTGCGATCGGCACCGCAAGAGCACGCCGCGCAAGATCCACTGCGAGGAGGCTGAGAACAACTACAGACCTGCCGGAAGAAGACGGCTGGAGCACACTAACCACCCCCATGCGTAAAAAAGAATCTCGCCATCGGTCGGCCCATGAACCTCCGCCCCGTAGATGGGCCTAAAGAGAGGTCATGAACAAGAAACTCTGATGGCTTTCCGGCCGAGGTGTCCTCTGAACCTCCAAAGTCTTTTCGCTTGCCTCTTGAACTGGGAAATCTCTGAGCGCGCTTGACCGTCTTCCGTGTAACCCCAGCCCGAAACGAGGTACCAACGGCGTCGCCAACTCCAAGATTCACGGCCGACCCCAGGTAGACACCCAGGGCGCCGAGACGGGCCTCCAGCTCCGATCCTTGCTTGGGGCACGAGCATACCACGGCCACCTGGCCCATGACAACCTGTCCTCCCATCAACTGGGCGACGGCGTAAAAGAGCGCGACCGTCACCTCAACAATCGCCCAGAATACGAAACCCATGGACCCTGGGGCGGAATCCCTCGCGTCGTCAACGAGGGCCCCGAAGCTCCGAAAAGACCCTCTGGAAACAAAAACGCAATCCCAACCGTCCAAACGAACGCTATCAGAATCGATACCGCAACTGGCCCCAGGAAGCCGAGCTGCGTCCCGCTGTGGCACCACGGGTTACGTAGATGGCTGGCATGCAGATCCCCGCGGGCACCATGTACCCCGCGGACTTGAAAGCCGAAATGTCAGTCAGTCAGTCAGTGGGCCATGCATCCTGCGGACGCGTAGGCAGAAGAACACTTGAAAGTTAGGCTGGTGCGCCAAATCCCACCAGCCCTCTGGGCGTCGGTGGTTCAGAGCGTTTCCTCTTCCACCCCTCCTTCTTCCCATTCGGGGAAGGGTTTGCCCCTCCCCCTACTCCCTCCCCTGGACCTGGACAGGGGGGTTTCGCGAGTCGTCGGAGCGTCCAAAATGGCCTCGGCGAGGAAACCAAAATCATTGTTTCACTAAGGTTTTGGCCCCATTTTGGCCTCTTGTGGGGGGGCTGTAATTAGTGACCACAGTGACCCCCCCTCCTGTGATCGATCTCACCCAAGCTGGCCCAAAGATGACCCCCAAGGCTCCCAAGGGTGCCCCAAGAGGTGGCCAGGAAGCCCCAAGAGGTCCCCAGGATGCCCCCAAGAGGCTCCCAAGAGACCCCCAAAAGGCCCCAAGAGACCCCCCAGAGGCACCCAAGATGCTCCAAGAGGCCTCGGCGAGAATGCCAAATCATTGATTTCTCAGAAAGGTTTTGGCCACATCTTGGCCTCTTGGGGGGGGCACTGATTAAGATGACTCCAAGAGCGCCTGGGAGAGCCCAAAATGACCTCAAAGATGGCTCAAGATATCCCAAGATGTCTCATAATGGCTTCCTCTGAGTGCTGACCACTTCCCTGATCGAGGCGATTCCTCTGGGCATCGTTTCTGGCTGGGCTGGTGGGGATTCTTTTTGTCGCGACCGCAGACGAGGGCGCCAGCGGCGAGTCAGGTCCGAGCGGGCCGCGCAAGAGCCGAATTGCCTAACGCCGACGGGCCGGCGACCTCAGCAGCGACTCGGCGGGCGGGCCGGCGTGAGGGGGGGTGCAAGCTGCAGCTGCCAGGGACCAGGTCCAGGGGCGCGCACATGCAAGATTAGCCAACCAGGGTTGGGGCGCAGCCAAAATGGCGCGAGGGTCGTACCAGGATGTGACCAGGGAGGCAGCCAGCCAGTACGCTGCGACGACTGCCATGTGTGCCCAAACTGGCCCAAAACTAGTGCATCGGGTGGCGCCACCAAAGTCGCACACCAAGTCCCCTGAAGGGAGTACTGATCCTGCGAACGACCGTACACGGAATGGCTGGTGGGGATTCGCGAAGCGTCAACAATTCGTCCCTGATGCAGTCAGAGCAGGGCAGTCCGCCAAACGCGATGATGACGACGTGATGGAATAAAGCATGTACGAATCACTGACGCATTCACATGTTCAAAATGCGTCAGGAAAGCTGATGCTGGTGCCCCCCGAACCTTGAGGGCCTCTAAACAGATCAGCTAGCGATACTTAAAACATGTCCAAGAGCATTGGAGCCGCGACCCCCCCCTGGTCTGGTGCCACGTTCCGATCTAAAAGACCTCCAGACGTGCCTAAGGCCCCATCGGTGCTTTCCAGCTGCGAAGTGACCACGCACATGAGACTGCTATGGGACGTCGGGCTTGTCCCCAGGCGCCAGGAGCAAGGATGCGAATGAGAAGCTGCAAACCCTCGCCGCTCATAAACTGGTAGTGCCCCCAAGTGGAACCCGTCGCATGAGACCGCGCTCCTTTCGGCGCTGTTTCTGCCGAGGGCCCCGAGGTGTAAGCAGCTCAAGGGGGGGGGTCAACGCCTTGGACCTGCACATCTTTTTGTTCATCGCTCCGGCCACACACAACAAAGAAACGAGCCGTGCATCTCGCCCCGCGGTCTGCGGCGGCAGAAGGCGGAAGCACTGCCTTGCCACCTGAATTGCTGCAATGCGCGCCCGGACCTTCCGTGCGCACGCGATGCCGCAGAAATGAAGCCCTGGCATACATCCGAAGGCCTCCGCGAGCTGTCAGAGGAAGCACGGATACCGAAGCATCCCGTCTTCGCCCGTCCTGTTGCGAAAGCGTTGCGAAAACACTGCGTCCGAGGCTCGCAACTGCAGCAGCGCTGTACAGAACACCGATGCCGCTGCAAACAGCGGTGCCACTGCTACTCTGCGAGGCTGGCGGCGGGGCGCAAATCCGCCGGCCCCCTTGCGGGGCCGTCAGGCTGCGAGGATTAAGGTTGCTGCTCCCTGCACCATTTCCAACTTCCATTGTTACAGTACTGCTTTCCGCTTCCTACTGTAAATTGTTATTGTCCGCGCGAGGGGGGGAGCCGAAAAGGGCCCTGGTTAGCGTCCCCCGGGAGGGTTCTCAGAATTTCTGGGGGGGCGTGGGACACGTAAAAATACGGAAGTTTCGTGCCCCCACGCCATAATCCCTCGCAAATTACGCGGTATTCGCGCCCCCGAGGCCACGATCCTTTGTAAATTACACCGCATTCGTGTCTCCGAGGCCAAGATCCCACCGTAATTCACGCCACATTTGTGTCTCCGAGGCC